AAAATTGAGCCCAAAAAATCTGTATCCACTGCCCTTTCAGAAAGAGTTCCAAAGTCTGTGGACCCTCTAAGGAAAAGAATTGCCACATATTAATGAGGAGTACTTTATTTTTAAACAGTTGCCAAGTTCTAGATTCTCCCATAAGAGGAAGAGTTCTTTTCACATCTGCCCTGTCAAATCAACATTTAAGACGATATTTCAGAATCTGCAAAATAGATGTGTTCTAAAGGATGAAACCCTCTCCCCGTCCATTGCTATCTGTGGTTAACTAGAAAGATTAAAGATAGTAAGAAATTTAAAAAGAAAGCTTTTAATTGAACGGTGGCCGGCCAAGATATTAGATAGATGTAACCAGGTCAATGAGATGAATACAGGCAGTTTGTGATAGACATAAGGCTTCTTGCCCCATATGAGGAAAAGATGCTATACTTGGTCAGATGAGAATTTGAACACTGATGTGAGGACATGGAGACCTGTGTGGACAACCACTGCAATGAGCTTTATTGTGCTGTGCTTTTGTGTTCACTTGCACACAGTATGTTGGGTCTAGTGTTTTGTCACTGTCCAGCCTGGTGAAGTTGCACCCATGTGAAAGATGAACAGCCTATTCATACATACCTAGGATGAAAGATACTGTAATGGCCAGTGGTTAACCTCTTCTTTCACACCCTATCAATTCCTTGACTGCAGCTCACATTATATGTAGGAATCCTTAAAATGTGCTGTTGATGATTGAAGTTAAAGCATTACAGTTTAATGTGGACAACATTTGAGGCTACATGAATTCTGTAACGATTGTGGTAGAACTTGGCTTGCACAGATTTTCCATGCTTCCATCCACGTTACGAGTGAGAGTATGGAATCAGTGAGGATTCCACACATTTCTCGAGGCAAGGTTTCATGCAGTTGTTGGAAATTTTAAAAGGAAAAACCATCAAACTAATTTAACAAGTTACTCTTGAGAAATGTATTTTTATAAGAAAGAATGAACAGAATTTGATAATGCTTGGAACCACAGAGCAATGTTTAATCCCAGTTTTAAAGATATTATGAAAAGTATTTTTTTTTCAAAATTGGACAACAAGGTTTCTGCAAAGTCTCTGAATTTTATAGAATGGAAATTAGTGGGATATCCCACTCAGAATAAAAGAATAGTGACAAGAAAAAAGTGGTACAACTTCAAATGGCAATGAGAATGACTCACCTTAGGTGTGGTTAAATTGAATATGTCACCAGAAAGGAAAGTGTAGGTAGAATGAATCATTGACAGCTTTCTTATGGAGATATTGGTGTCCTTACTGCTGGGATTTTTTTTAAATAAAATTGCATTGGAACATTTGTCCTTGACCAACAACTTTGGGACCAAGTGGGCAGGAACACGTGTGCCACGTCATCTCGATCAAAAAAAACAAATCTTTTCATCTCTCAAAAAATTCATCTGAAGTTCAAGATTGTCCAGCAGTATCTTGGGATCCTGATCTAAGTGTGCAGAAATTATTGTTACGTCTGGGGTAACTGGAATGAGGAAATGCACGATGAAAATGCACTGAAGAAAGAGTCTCAGGCATGTATACCTACTAAAGGAAATTGTTATTGTGTCCTGAAGTGCATGAAAAATTATAGTAATTGATAAGGCACCGACACATAGTCTATCGAGAAACAGACAGTAAAACAGTCAAAGTGGTACTTATGAAAGGGATAAGAAATAACGTGAAAATAATTTTGCGTTAGGACAGTTGAGGCATAAATTGAGAAAATACTGGATATGAAAAATCCACAAGATGGATACAGGTGAAGGGAGAGCTGGAGAATCTTTTAAGTCCAGGGATAAACTGTTGCTGTAACTGAATGTACCATAATTAGTTAAGGATGAGCCAACATCCTCGAAGTGTGACAACGTAGTTTAATTGCAGAGAGAGGGAGAAATCCAACAACTTGATTTAGCTTCATAGAGTGCAAGAGAAAGAGTTGGTAAACAGCTTTTCAAACAATATGAAAGAGTGGGGACAGCAGCTTAATAAAGAGGTGAGCGGACCTGCATAAAAGGCAGCAGCAGCTGGAGATAAAAACCATTGGCACTGAAGTGCTTCAACCTGTTCCTACTTGTCACAGCTGAAGTGTGATGTTACAGAAATAAGTAAGTAACTGGTAGGTATTACTTTCATGTCTCTTTCAATTGGCAATTGATTTAAATCAGGAAACATTATTACAGCTGAAGAATACAAGTTAAGAAATACATATTTAAAATACATAACATCTAAATTAATTAATTAAGTAGGTAGAAAAGGCTGGGCAGGAGATTTAGTACAGTTGTAGCGTGTGGGAACTGATAGATGCTCATGCAATCCACGGTGACCACATCTGTTGCAGGTATTGGCTGCTTGAGGAACTTCAGCTCAAAGTTGATGAGCTGGAGTCCGAGTTGTGGACACAGTGACACATCAGAGCTGAAGAGAGGTACCTGGATCGTGTGTTTTAGACTGTCACACTCCTTAGATTAATGAGATTAAATTTGGTCCATCATCAGGGACAAGAGTGTGATTGTGTGAGGCAGGCATGGTGATCCAGAATTTACCTTTGGAGAAGCTTCAGCCAGGAAGTATAAGGTTTTTACTCCCAATGTGGACAAGGGTACAGACTGCAGAAAGGATGCATGAACTGATTATAGCACTGTGGAGCAATAGTCATGCTACACAAATGCCAGGTAATGACCATCTCCAACCTAACCACTGCCTCTTGACATTCAATGGCGTTATCATCACAGTATGCCCCATGATCAATCTGATCAAAGTATGTAAGTTCTAAGTGTCCCAGGCTCCTAAGTGAATTCCTGAATGGCTAAAATGGTGCATGGGTTGTTCCAAAAACAGGCATGATGATGTTGGTATGCTAATTGGTAGGGAGATGCCCCCTTGCGTGGTTAAAGTCCATTTGAATAGAGGAGCCAAGGAGCATGCAAGGATGTTGCAGTGAAGACAGAGTTGTCTGAACTTCAGGAGAAGCAAATGGCAAATCAGGAATTTGCTCTGGTTAGTTTTGTGGGAAGGAAAGGAACTTTGGGAGCTACGTAGAAGTGAAGCGAGTTTTGCGAATAATAACATGCAGTTGCATAGAAAAAATTGCGGTTGCTACTCAGTTGCAAGGTCTTGTATTTGCCACTTAACCCTTAAGGGGTAAATTGGAACATTTTTTCTCTCCAAGAATCTGATATTTTTTTTCATTTTCACTGTAATTTCCCAACATTCTCCCCATTGAGGAGCACCCTTGAGGAGGGGCTGAAGAACCTACTTCTTGTTTGAATGTTTGTATCCTGTGGAAATTAATAATCCATAGATCTATGGCAGTTATGAGAACCCTTGCTGATTTTTCATGATTCTTATTTTATTCTTTTATCAGTTTTGGTTTGGAGCTGTGAACTGGGAACTGTGGGCTAAAGGTGACTTTTGGACTGTGGCTAACAGCTTGTTTTAAAAGGAAAAGAGAGAAAACAAACTTTTTTGTGAGGCTAGGTCTGAAAGTTAGTTGCAGATTGGTTCCTGATCAAAAGATTCATTGCAGGGAAGAACATTACAAACAGATAGCAGAAGTTGGTTAGTAACAAGATCAGAATCTGTGAATTGGTTCCAGCAGTTTGGAAAAGATCTTATGCTCAAACAAATGGCAGATGTTAAATGGTAAGTGAGACTTTATGGAGGAGACAATCAGTCTGTCAGGGAGTGGTCTGAGTTGGAATTAGGTTTTGAACAGTATTTTCTGTGGACAAGAAAAGATTTGCAAACTCCCTGCCTAACCTCTGTTGGAAGTTCAGAGAATAGAAAGCTAAGCATTACTGCCTTTATCTGAGTGAATCTCCTTATTGACATCTTTAGAAAATCAACTTTGAAACCATCATCTATGATTGTAGGAACACATCGTGAAAACCACTTAAGTAATGTGACCAGTTTGGTTTTATTTATTCATTAATAGTGTTTGTTTGCTGTTCATTTGTCTTTTGTTTTCAGCTCCACAAAGGCTTTTGGGTTTAAAGGTAAAGTCACCATAGTCTTACCAGACCATAGGGCTGCTCTCTCATTAGAGAGATGCAACTGGTGGTTATTTAACCTGAGGATCATCGTCCTCAACATGGGAAAAGGTTGAGAAGAAGTGTCCTTCGTTGTAACTTATGTTCGTCTGGGAATTGAATCCATGCTATTCGCATTTCTCTGTATTGCAAACCAGCTCTTGAGCCAGCTTAGCTAAATTAATCCCCATATTTGGATTTATTGCATAGACCAATAAAGATTACTTTGTCATTAAATTTTATTCTGCTAAATCACTATGTTGTTAATAAATTGCTAAGTCTTTTGTTTGAGTTACAAACTGACATTTGGAATAGAGTGTTCACAGAGTCTGGGAGTGGTTATTCAAACGTCTGGATAAGAATTATTGAGGTCAATTTTGAGGGTATTTGAAGGTTTTCATTTTACTTTGTTGTGAATACAGAGGTAGGAAAGTCTGATTGCATTTGGCTGTCTGTCTCTGTATATAATACAATACATTGACTTTTCTCATTCCATGCTTTCTACTTCTACGTAATATATATGTGCAATCATAAAAATAAGCCTGTCTATCAAGGATCTCTGTGAATGTAATTGAAGGTAATTCAAGATGAATTTTAAAAACTTTATTTTTCTGGAACCCAAGGAATTCGGTCAGTGTTCTACAGTCTATCTCCATGATTAAATCAACATAGAGTTTTTTTTATGTGCCTAGTATTGAACCCAATATGTGTGAATGTAAGCAGTTCCATTATGCTGTATAAAATGAAATAATGTCAGTTGAGAAGTAAAATATGTTTTCCCCATAATACCTTTTTGAAATTATATGATATTTTATGTTGAATGCACAATTTGAATATTTCATTTGAGATGTTCAGTTGCTCAGTTTTCTAATATTGCTGCTATTCAGTTACTTTAAGTGATAATGGTTAGAAAATAAATGGAGAATGACTTTTTCTGCAGGTTCCTGATTGGGCGAGAGAAACCTGGCCAGAGCAGTGAGGTTGCTCAGCTGATCAGCCAAACTCTGGAGCAGGAACGACATCAAAGAGAACTGCTGGAACAGCACTATGCTCAGTATGATGCTGATGATGATGAGGTAACATCTTTCTGTTGAAACGATTCTCTATCTCACTCATTAAAATTGGTAATTCTAGCTTTCCCCAGGGAGTAATATTTCAGAGCACACTGCTTTTGAGCAAGAGAACCAGAGTGTAAGGTTCCAAATACACTTGCCTCACAGGCAGTTGGAGCTTAATTTTTTTTACACAGGTTTGGCCTGAACCCAGGAAAATTGCCTAAGTTGTTTCTATTTTGCAGAGTATCTGGTTACATTATTGGGTGAAAATTAAATATTCACAAGCATAAAATTATTAAAAAGAGGCTGTATTAGAATAATTTTGCAATCACAACTGGGCACTTTTTTGAGTAAAAGAATAAAGCTTTAAAGAATTGAATGTTAGATGAATTGGTTTACCTAGTTTATAGGTGTGAGGCTGGAAAAGTACAGCAGGTCAGACAGCATCCAAGGAGCAGGTAAGTCCGTGTTTCAGCCTAAAACCCTGACAGTAAGTTTGTTTAATATGGTAAGTATATAAACAAAGTCAAATTTTGGGGAATTGCTTCCTTGACGTGTTCACTATGAAGTTATCTTTCAAGGCTGATTCCAATGCAATTTAACATTGATAAGCTTCATTCAGCTGTGATGGTAATTTGTCAGCCTGTAGCTTGGTATGTCAGTTTGGTGTTAAACAGCTGAAGGCATTTTGCTTGACCAAATGGGCTTGAGGATGTTGTTGCCATGGGCCTGAGCATTAGGTGGCCTGCTGTTGACATTTTGTAAACTAAAAGCTTTTTTTTACTGTTGCAGAGTTGTCTCATTTAGATAACCTTATTTCAAAATTTATTCATCTGTTTGCGTGCAAACTATTCCGGTAACTGAACTGTACATTGCCAACATGTGCACTTAATTCCTCCAATTTAAGTAGAACCAGTTGGTATTGTAGTTTTTTGATGACAATGGCAATGTAACTATGAAGTTTGCAGTTACTACTATTTGATCAAATGGTAGCATCATAAGACATCTATCATTGGCCAACACAGAATAGTTGCAAAATTTAGTTACCTCCCCTTCAAGGATAATGTCTGCTTAGATTGTTTATACTAATTCAGCACTAATATTCTTTTAAACACACTATTCATTGATGAAGTACCCCTTGGGCCTTAACTTCCACTAGTCCATTTCTTGGATGACATGGTGGCTCAGTGGTTAGCACTGTTGCCTCACAGTGCCAGTGACACAGGCTTTATTCCAGCCTTGGGTGACTGCCTTTGTGAAGTTGGCATATATTCCTTGTGTCCGTGTAGGCTTCTGCCAGGTGCCCTGGTTTCCTTCCACAGTCCAAAGATATGCAGGTAGGTGGATTGGCCATGTTAAATTGTCCATGGTGTCCAGGGATGTGCAGGCTAGATGGATTAGCCATGGGTAAATGTGGGATTACGGAGGTAGGGTGGCAGCCTGGGTCTGTGTGGGATGCTGTTTGGAGAGTCAATGAAGACTTGATGAGCAGAATGGCCTCTTTCCGTACTGTAGAAATTCTACAATTTAATTCTAGAATTTGAGTTTCTTGTTGCTTGCCTTTACAGCTTATTGAGTAAACAGTAAAACAGGCTAGACATTTAAATTAAGTCAATGATAATATATAAGTGGTCAGGCCCATCAAGTCAAAATTCCATTGGATATAAATGTAGCATTTCTTTGAATCTTTGTGACTTAAAGGTACCTAATGTGTTAAAAATTTGAAAATGAACAAACCAACTAAGAAACTTGGATGGTTGTTTTAGCATTCTTGTTTGTGTTGTAGTGATAGTCTTCCATATTTAGTTATAACGTGGTTAAGTGAGAAATTCTGCTGTGCCTTCTTCAAAGCTTTAAACCTATTTCTTAATTTGTGCTCAAACTTGAAAGGAATACACTAATTGGGGCTGATGTAGTGTTTTGTGTAGATTTAGCAGTTTACTTTTTGATAATTTTTGCGAAATGATTATTAAAAATTGCATTGATTCTTAAAATATTTGTTGCCCCTTACAGAAAAGTATAAAGCAGAGTTTCTGGGAATAGATGGTAATTTAAATAAATGTTATAAGAGCAAAAGTTTGATTTAACTACTTGAAAATTTCTAAAGTCCAGTCTGTTTTTCATTAAGGTTAGAAATTGAGATGTACGAAATTGGATTCAATATTACCGTAATAAAGCATCACTTCTAATATCATGGTTCCTTTAGACTCTCTAGAAAGGATGTTGTGAAATTTGGAAAGGGTTCAGAAAAGATGTTGCCAGGTTTTGGGGGTTTGTGCTACAGGGAGAGGCTGAATAGGCTGGGCTATTTCCCCTGGAGTGTTGGAGGCTGAGAGGTAAACTTAGAGGTTCATAAAGTCAGGAGGAGCATGGATAGGGTAAATAGGCAATGTCTTTTCCCTGGGGTGGGGAGTCCAAAACTAGAGGGCATAGGTTAAAGGTGAGAGGGGAAAGATTTAAAAGGAACCTAAGGGGCAACTTTTTCATGCAGAGGGTGGTGTGCATATGGAATGAGCTACCAGAGGATGTGGTGGATACTGGTACAATTAGAACATTTAAAAGGCATCTGGATGGGTCTATGAATAGGAAGGGTTTAAAGGGATATGGGCCAAATGCTGGCAAATGGGACTAGATTAATTTAGGCTATCTGGTTGGCATGGACGAGTTGGACTGAAGGTTCTGTTTCCGTGCTGTACATCTCTCTGACTATGACTGCAGCAAGAATCTTCAGCCCTCTTTTGAGTGAGAATCATCCCTCGATGGAGAAGTGAGACCTCTGTCCTTAGGGGCAATGGGATTTTTCAGGTAAGCACCCCAGCAACAATTTGAGGGATGCTACTGATTGGTAGGTGCTACTGAATAGTAAGTACTACTGAATGGTCATGTTGCCATTTCAAAAACCACTCACTGGGAAAAAAAATCACTTATATTGATTTGGTGCTTACTTTTGACAAGTGCAAATCTTACACATGCAGAATAATATTTTCCAGAACATCCCTCCTATCAATAGAACACTAGGTATCTGGCCCTAATAGGTATACGTTACAGCTAACATTCAAAAGGGTGGCACGGTGTCTCAGAGGTTAGCACTGCTGCTTCATAGTACCAGGAAGCTGTATTCGATTCCACCCTTGGGCACCTGTCTGTGTGGAGTTTGCACGTTCTCCCTGTGTCTGCATGAGTTTCCTTCGGGTCCTCTGGTTTCCGACTACAGTCCAAAGATGTGCAGGTTAGGTGGATTGTTCATGCTGAAATGTTAGTAGTGTTGAGGCTAGATTGGTTAGCCATGGGACATGCAGGGCTATGGGGATAGCATAGGGGCCTGGGTCTGGATGGGATGCCGTTCGGAGAGTTGGTGAAAACCTGATGTGCTGAGAGGCCTCTTTCCGCAAATTCTACAAATCAATTTAATTCTAGATTTTGAGTTGCTCATCTTTCCCTTTACGGTTTACTGGGTAAATAGTAAAGCTGGCAAGACAGTTAAAACTAAGTCAATGATAATGAATCGGTGGTCAAATCCATCAAGTAAAAAATCCATTGGATACAAGTATTTATAAACGTGGTATTTCTTTGAATCTCTGTGACTGAAAAGGTACCTTATGTGATAGAAATTTGAAATGAAAGAATGCATTTTGGATACTTGGACAATTACTTTAGCATTCTTGTTTGTGTTCTGGTGATAGTCTTCCATTTCTGTAGTTACAACGTAGTTAAGTGAGGAATTCTTCTGAAACCTCTTCAAAACTTTTAAAACCAATTTTAAAGTTTGCGCTGGAATTTGAAGGGAATACTCTAATTGGGGCTGATATAATGTTTTCTGTGTAGATTTAGCTGTTTACGTTTTGATAATTTTTTGCAAAATTTTCATTAAAAATTGCATTGATTCTTAAAATATTCCTTTGGAGTTTTCCGTGTGTCTGCGTGGGTTTCCTCCGGGTGCTCCAGTTTCCTCCTACAGTCCAAAGATGTGCAGGCTGGTGGATTGGCTATGCTAAATTGCCCCGCAGTGTGCGGGAATGTGTAGGCTAGGTGGATTAGCCATGGTAAATGCAGGGTTACGGGGATAGGGTTGAGGGCTAGGTTTGGGTAGGATGCTTTTTGGAGGACCGGTGCAGACTTGATGGGCCAAGCAGTTTCTTTACACACTGTAGGGATTCTATGTTTCTGTGAAAAGAAACAATAAGAAATATATAGGAATGGGAAAATATGTTGTGGGCAGATGTTAAAAATATGATGGAATATTTTCCCAAGCAAATTTCTAGGTCTACCTTTCTCAGGTCAGCTGAAGTAACTCTGGGGTGCAGACAGTAAATCTTGAAGTCAGACGTATAAAGTAAAAGTTACATGCTACTCCTTTAAGCAGAAGAAAGCAAATGAAAATATGTCATATTTCATACAAGTAGGCAAAAAGTCAACATAGAAGGACAGGTCCAGAATGCGTATATGTCATTTCATAAAGAATTATGAATAAGGCTCGTGAGATATATGAATATGATAAAGCAGCAATAATGGAACCATGGACAAGATACTTTAATTCAAGAAGCCAATGTATTTGGGCAAGACATAAGAGGAGCTGGAATAGCAGTACTGCTTACTGAAGACATTGTCATTTTGGAGAGAGAGGGCATCCTAAGAAAACAAAGTTTGATTAGTATTGAGAAGTAAAAAAATTCTGCTATGCAAATATTCAACAGATGTCTAATTAATGAGTGGTAATTAGAAGAGAAAAACGACAGGAAAATCAGAGATAGACCATAATTGTAGAGCAGTGACATTTGGGGCTTGTATTATATTCAGTTATTGATTTGGATACTGTTTGAATAAAAGAAAAAGCAGCAGAGGAATTTCTGAAATAGGTTCAAGGAAAACTACCTTGACTGGTGTGATCTCAGTCCAACCAGGCTGGGGAATGGGTGGGCCAAGTGGACCACTTGTCTGTGAGGGAACACTTGTGTAAGAGTGATCAAAGCATTATATTGGTTAACTCATGCAGAAGAGCAAATAACTTTCTAAAGTCAAAATAATAAATTAGAAGAGGGCAGATAAGGATAAAATAGTATCAAAAATTGATCAGAAAAATATGAATTAAATAATAAGTAATCTTTAAGAAGGTATGTTAAATTTACAGACTAGATACATTCCAACAGCTGTGAAAGGTGGAATGTGAGCAAATTGTAAATCAAAATAAAAATTGTTTGTAAATCAGGGAGCCCCTTTACAATATACCTGTGTTTACTGAAGAAATGAATGCTGACAAAATATTCCAAGAAATAGAGATGGCTTCTTATTGGCCCACCAGCTTTTGGAACTGGGCCACCATCCTTAATTGAACATAGAAACAACTCCAACTCTGCCTCCAAGTCACGTATGGGCATGGTTAACATAAGCAGTCTCATCTCTCATGGTTAACAGAAGTAGTCTCATCTCTAATCCATGAGTCATAGAGTAATTGAAGTATTGTGTATTTGTTCATGGGATGACAGTGTCGCTGGCTAAGCCAGTATTTATTTTGCTTTCCTATCGCCCAGAGGACAGTTAAGAGTCAACCTCTGTAATAAGTGGAACGAGGGCCAGGTTTATCTCATGGTCTGTGCGATCTTTGATTGGGGTTGTTAACCTGGGCCAATCAGTGAGCCCTAGGACAGATGAGGGAATGGCACTGAACAAGCTAGACAGAGTCTATGTACTGTGCACATGTAAGTAAAAGGTGACTTGATGACAGGATGCCTGCCTCCCTGGAGTTATTTCAGTGGCGACAAGAGAAAACAGTATGTTCCTGAAGAAAATTCGCTCACAACAGTCGTCTCTGAGTTGGGTTAAACAATATCGTCCTGCCCTCGAAGACAGGCCCAGCATGTGGAAAGAATGTATTATTTTTTCCGGGCAAATGACATTGGGGCAGATGAAAAGCAACGAGTCATTCTTCTGACTGCTTGCAGATGTGCAGCATTTTCAGTTATTAAGAGCCTAACTTTCCTTGTAACACCTGATACTAAAACCTTTCAAGAGTTGATGGATTTAGCTAACGAATATTACGACCCCAAGCCTCTTCTAATTCTGAGGTTTAATTTGACAGTTCAAAAACTGGAGGAATCTGTATCAGGACTTTTGACAGTTAAAATGGCTGGCAGAGGCATGTGATTTTGGGTTAAACCTGAATGAGATGCTGAGAGACCATTTGGTATGTGGGTTTAATGATGTAATATTGATTGTCCCAAGTAAAGGCCACTGCCAGATTCTGGCTGAACTTCACCAAGGTCATCCAGGTGTTTCTAAAATGAAAATGTTGGCAAGATGTTATGTCTGGTGGCCAGGATTGAATGCTAACATAGCTACATTGGTGGGGCAGTGCCCAGAGTGCTAATAGGGACAAAAATTACTGCCAGCAGCATCCCCACATGCATGGGAATGGCCAGGAAAACCCTGGAGTCAGTTACGTGTCGACTATGCCAGTCCTTTCACGGGCTGAATGTTCTTGGTCATTGTGGATGCTCATTCAAAGTGGTTGGACATGCCCAGAATTCATTCGGCAAACTCAGGGATGACGATTGAAAATCTATGAGCGTTATTCGTGATGCATGGACTCTCTAAGTATTGGTCACGGACAATGGGACATCATTTACCAGCACGGATTTTGAGTATTTCCTAAAGCCGAATGGCATTCGGCATGTTCAGAGAGCTCCATACCATCCATCGTCTAATGGTCTGGTGGAAAGAGTAGTCCAGCTGTTGAAGGCAGGCTTAGAGAAACAGTTTACAGCTTCACTTGATACTGAACTGTTCTGGTTCCTGTTTAATTATAGGACCAATGCCCTTCATCAGAACTGAAAGTAACTAGGAAAAGGCTTTTAGTTCTGGCAAAGGGTCACTGGACTTGAAATATTAACTCTTTTCTCTCTACAGATGCCGCCAGACCTGCAGAGTTTCTCCAGCACTTTCTGTTTTTATTATGACAGAGCTGAACTTGAGGTGAGATTGACTGCCCTTGACTTCAAGCTCTGAAGTTGGGATGTTCACTGATGATTGCTTAATGTTCAACACCATTCATGACTCTTCAGCTACAGAAGTAGTCTGTGTCCATATACAGCCAGATATGAACAACATCCATGCGGACTCTCGAGTAATATTCTGCAACACCAATGCCAAGTAATGACTATCTCCAACGAAAGAGAATCTCCTCCACATTTAATTATATTCCCATTGCTGAAACTCCAGTCACAACATCCTGTAGAATTCCATTGTCCAGAAACTTAACAGCATCAGTTATGTAACTACTGTGGCAGCAGAGGCTAGGAATTCTGCAGCAAAAAACTTACCTCCTAACTTCCAAACGTTTGTTCACCATTTATAAGGGTTAAATCAGGAGTGAGATGGAGTACTGTCCACATGTTTGGATGAATGCAGCTCCTACAATACCGAAGAAGCTCAATACCATCCAGGGCATGTTAGTCTGCTTAATTGGTAACCCCTCCAACTCTCAAAGATTTATTTCTTCCACCATTGGGATATATTAGCAGCAGTACGTATCATCTCATGAATGCACAACAGCAGCTCTCCAAGGGTCTTTTGAAACCTTCTAAATCTATGACCTGTACCACTGAGAAGGATAAGTCAGCAGATACACAGTAACACTACCACCTGCAAGTTCTCCTACAAGCCACAAACCATCCTGACTTGGAACTGTATCGCCATTCCTTAACTGTGGCTGGGCCAAAACTTTGGGACTGTCTTCCTGACTGCACTTTGAAGATGGCAGCGCACTACAATCGTCTAAGAATAATTGAGGATAAATGCTTTCCTAGCGATCAAGGTCCAATGAATAATATAAAATTTTTTTCACTTGCTGTAGTGTATGCCCAATTTCTTTAAAGTGTGGCACCCAGAACTGGATGCAGTACTCTAGTTGAAGATGAACCAGTGTTCTATACAGCTTTAACTAATTTTTCTTTTGCACTCCATGCCCTGGTAAATAGTGTCGATGATACTATGCGCTTGTGTGGATTATAATGGTACTTCTTAAAATTGATAGTCAATACATTCATTTGGCATTAATTGGTTCAATCGAATAGAAATTAGAATAGCGTAGAAATTTTTGTCATGTGTACTTTCAATGAAAAATAAAGTGAAAAGTTTTATAAGTTGCCCACCAAGGTGCCTACATTCATGGTAATAATCATAGATAACTGTAACAGCCGAATTATTTATCTTTTATGCAGCTGAAATTCTTCTGTTATCTGTTGTTAACCATTTTTAGAGAAACATTGTGCATGATTTTCGTGGAAGCAGAAGGAGCTGCAACAATAACAACAATTCTTCTTTTAAGCAGGTTTGTTATTTTGTAGGAAATCTGATTTTGTATGTCTGCGTTATTTGCCAACATGACTAATTTCTACTCACCAATATATAGTTTGTGCAATCCAATTTAACCTTTCAAAGATCACTTGAAAATCTTTATCTGGGGCTACTAGTTAAGACTATTGTTATCTGTTATTTTATCTGTTCAATATATAACCTTTCTTTTCTTGCAGAATACATTCCTTGATGGTAGGTACTTGTGTCTGTTAAAGGAGCCATCATTTGCAGCTATTATTTTTCAATATAGATGTTGAAAGTTAAGCATGATTTAATATTGCAGCCATTATATAGCTAATACCAATAAGTTTTTTCTTTCAATGTAATACTTTTGGATATTGAACATTTTTTGAGACTGTTGAACTAGAAAATTTGTTTCATTTAAAATTTTGTTTAGTTCTCTGCTTACCATGGATAAGGACAACATGCAAAAGAGGAAAACAAAGGAGCACTTAGCCTGTTATGACTTTTTCCAACTAAGACCACGTGACTTTCTGCTATGCTTCTTTAAATAATTGCGTTATATCCTTGCTGTGTTCTCTGCATTACTTACATTTGTTTTACTTAAGCTAGTACTGTTTTTGTTTTGCTTCCTGGGCTTCAATTATTTGAAGAGTTTTTTTTCTTCAGCTATCTGAATTCTGAGCAAACGGTACTTCAAATTTTTCCAACATTTCAGTAGGTTATCAAAGAATCAACTGGCTTGTGAACGTTTAACCCAATATAGAAAGCTCAGATTTGCTCCCTAGTTAAGCATTGCATGTAGGGAAAGATTTTCTACTTGTAAGCTGAAGGACCCGGCAACCATAAAATTATTGGTATGAAAAGAGAAAAAGCTGGAAATGCATGGCTGGATAGGCAGCATCTGTAGCCAGAGAAACAGCTAACGTTTCAGATCAATAACCTTTCACTATTGGATTTGAAATCACTGTCCAAATCCGTGTAAGCTTGGAAAGCTTTGGAAATATTCCACAGTTTTTTAAAAATCACTGACCTGATGGCTTTTTGCAATCAAAGCCTCTCCTTAAATACCTAGATATTTTCAGAGGAGGCACGGCTGCCACAAAAATACATCTTTTTTAAAGGTGCAAGTCTGCCAGCTTCTGAGACAGTTGAGGTTTTATTTGAGTTTTGGATAGGCTGTAGTTCCAGGTGACCAATTTGGTGGATTTGAGCTGAGCCACTAACATTTTTCTGTTTTAATGGTTTGCTGATGAGAGTCTAAACTACTTGCAAAGGACAGTCCTTTAACAGAAAAAGAGCTTCTTGGGAAATTCAATGAAAAACTGAAGAGTTAATCAAAGTCTACATTAGATTGGTACATTGGCATTGTCCTTGAACATCAGAGATTTTTCTGAATGATACGGAGTAATGAATAAGAATTTGAATAATTTAGCCATTTGAAAGTGTATAATTTACCACAGCATATGAATTTTTCCCCCATATAATGTGGATTTGGGTAGATACTATATGAAAGTCAGCTTCATTTTCTACATAATATCAGTTTTACTCCTTGGTCTTCTAAATAAGTAGTGCTGCAGACTTAAAACTTCTAGTTTTTTGTGTGGCATTTCCCAAAATTGTAATGGGAAAATTATGCTGAGTTCTCAATTTGTTCACATGAAGCAGCATTACCCATGTTGCATATCAGTACTGCTGATATCAGTGAAGAACGCTATACAGGTAGAGACCATATACGCTACTTATATTGGTTAATTTGTAACAGTCTTTGGAGCTACTGTCAAAAAGCTGTTTATATGAAGTCTTCGTTATCCAGATTAAAGTTCACAGTACTCTTGAATTTTAGCTTCTTCATTTTGAGCCTTTTTTCAGCAACATTTGCAGGCTTGTTACGGCTTATTAATAGTTGTGATTCTGTTTTGGTAATTTTATAGACTCAGCATATCTACTGAGTCTTTGTTTAGAAATAATAGGCAAAATCATAAAGGGGTCTGAGTGACATGGGCGATAGCAAGATTTGTGTTAGAATTATTTGAGAAGTCCGATGAGGTCTGTCTTGAATTTGGGAGCATCTTCTGTCATCTGTCATCTGTTATGCCTTTTACAAGTGGTGAGGTGAGTTTCTCACTAGGCTGTGGTGAATTGCCAATTAAGGGTGATATTTCTTGTTAAACTTTATTATTGGACCAACTCACCTCATTAACATTCAGTTTTCGATATTATCAAAAGTGCCAAACCACCTAGACATTTGAGAAGACTCAACATTGAAATCAGAACAAGTCCCTGGCAAATTCAGGTCACTGCTCGCTCCAAATGGCACCCATTTTGGAAACCAAACAGTAATATCACAGGGCACCCTTTATGGACAGCATCCACACACACCCCACATCCATAAACATTGACACCAAAATGTGCCAGCCTGTAAGATCACTCATGACACATTATCACTGCTTCTTTACTTCAGGACTGCACCTTGTACTGCACTGGTGACCATCATAATAATGCTGCAAAGACACGCACCCAGCTCATGAATTGGGCCAGACTACATCTAGAGACTCTTTGCTTACTTTCATAACACTCACTCACTCTGAGCCAGCCTGGATGCTCACAATATCCCTGTTTTACATTGCCTTGGCTTGCCTATGTGTGCTTTGCCCCCTTGGCCGGAGCTTCTAGTCTCATGTTACTTCTGCGTTGCATTTAGTGCAGGCACAAAGGCAGGAAGATTGTTGCGGCTGTCAGCCGGCCTTAGTCAAGGGGGATAACCATTGCTCAGGGTGTGTCAGTGGAGTAACTCAAGGGTAGCTTCTGATACTAGTCCAGTGATCAGTCATGGTCAGTCAGCCAGTTGAGGCAGTCAGGATGCTCTCCTTGTAAGGGGTGAGATGCTGAAAGTTGGGCAGACCATCCCCTGCCTTGATTCATTTTTGCCTTATTCTGTACTGGCACAATGAGAATAAAATGAAGATCCAATAACTTACCATTGTAAATATAGTTGGACATCTCAAGTGGCAAGATGTCATGAATTTTTTAGAGCCACTTGTTGTAACTTTGTAAGATTTTCAGGTTATGGCCTTTCCTGTCTTTTTGCTGTTGCAAATTGTAGAAGAGTTCCAGCTGAGGCATCAGATATTGGAAGGAAAGAACGTTTCTTAAGTTGCTCTTCTGAACTTTTTCCAGTGTTGCCTGGACATTCATACATAAATGTTACCTTTCTCCTCAATTTCTATTCGGCAAGTGTGACCTCCATGTTCCTCTGGTCAAAGATTTCCTCGGCTGAAACATGAGCTGATTGAAAACCTATTTTATGTATCATCTTGGTAAACTTTAACCCCTGCTGAACTTCTATTCTTTAGGACACATTAGGCTGAAAGACCTTTTTCTGTGCTGTAGATCTCTATAACTGTATGGCATCTGGCTATATTGGGACTATGTGAGAATTTGCTTACAATATTGATTTGCAACCAAACTTCATATCATATAACAAGATGTTCAGGCAATTGGCTCAGTTTGAATAACTTTAGTAAAGTAATGACATCTCCTTTTTCATGTCACTTCATTAATGTGGGGTCAAACTTTGATCTGCTGGACCAGCTAGGTTTCCATAATGACATATTGTGTTTTCTGTATTTCTATAATGCCAAATGAATACCAATGCAGCTAAGTTTTGTTAGAACAAACTTCCAGTAATTTGTTTTTCAAGTGCAAACGGTTCCATGTTGATATTATGAATTATTTTATTGCCACTGGTCATAACTTTTCAAGTTCTGTCTTATTTCCATATTGTTCAATTGTACCAATGACTATTAGTGTGTTTTCAGGTGGATGTAGTAGTTCTCCTTTGTAAAACATTGCAGTGTTTTATAATTTTTTTAGAACATCTTTAGCCCTTTTCTTTGCATATCAATTAGTGTTGATGTAAAACGTGGAAGAATTATATACTGTGAGGAGGACAGTGTAGAACTCCAAAAGGACATGAGAGATTGGTGGAGTGAGCAGATAGGTTTCAATACAGAGAAATGTGTGGTGATGTATTTTGTGAGGAAGAACATTGAAAGATACTATACAAAAGAGGGTACAGTTCTAAGGGGATGCAAGGGCAGAGGCACCTGGATGTATATGTACACACATCATTGAAAGTGGCAGAAAAGATAGGAAGAGCAATAAGTAAAGCATGTTGTCCTTGGTTTTATTAAAAAGGGCATAGTGTACAAGAGCAAGGAAGTTAAGCTGAACTTGCATAAGACACTTAGAGTCATAGAGTCATTTAACACGGAAACAGATCCTTCGGTCCAACTCATCCATGCCAACCAAGTTTCCAAAACTAAACCAGTCCCACTTGCCTGCATTTGGCCCATATTCCCCTAAACCTTTCCTATTCATGCCCCTGTCCAAATGTCTTTTAAATTTGTAACTGTGCCTGCATCTACCACTTCCTCTGGCAGTTCATTCATGAATCATCCTCTGCGTGAAAAGGTTATTATCCCTCCGGTTCCTTTTAAATCTTTCTCCTCTCACCTTAAAAATATACCCTCTAGTTTTAAACTCCCCTACCCTTGGGACTATACCTTTGCTATTCACCTTATCTGTGCCCCTCAAGATTTTATAAACCTCTATAAGGTCACCCCTCAACCTCCTGTGCTGCAGTTAAAAAATGTCCCAGCCTATCCAACCAATTTTTATAGCTCAAACCCTCCAGTGCGCAACTTCCTTGTAAATATTTTCTGAATCCTCTCCAATTTAATAATACCCTTTCTATAGCCCAGAATGTTTCTCAAAATACTGGTGCAGTATGGCAGGTCCAAACTTTGTATTGGTCAGTGTGGCTATTCATCCTGGAAGCCAGTTGATACTTACCCCATTTTGGCCCTGGGATCTTTTATATCCAACTGAGCGGGCAGACTAGAGTTCACTTTAACATCTCATCCAGCACTGCACTAGAGTGTCAGCCTAAGTTCTTGCCTCAAATCTTAAGAGTGAATATTAAAACATAAGACGAAAAAGTTAGAGTTG